ACGAGTTTCATGCAGTGATCAAACATCTACATATGAAAGGTTTAACGCCGAAAGAAATCAAAGTCGAGTTGGATAATGTTCATAGCACATCTACATCAGCATTTGCGACTATATACAATTGGGTGAATAAATTTAAACGTAGTCGTACATCCATTGTTTTGACTGTTCCTTCGCTCGGATGTGAAATAATGGATCCATGTTTCGTCCACAGTAATGAATCGACGCAGAAATTCATCTGGATTACGTTGAAACATCTCCAAACATTGTTTTGAAATCGTTACACGGTCGCGCTTATGGTCCACAGTGAGCAAACGCGGCACCCATCTTGCCGATAGCTTTTTCATACCCAATTGTTCGTGCAAAATTCAAATCACTGTGCCATGTGATGCCTGTGGCCTCAACAAGCTCGCGCACTTTCACTCGTCGATCAGTCAAAACAATATCGTGGACTTTATCGATGATTTCTGGTGTAGCAGCCTCAATTGGACGTTCCGAACGAGGTGCATGTGATGCCCCCTGCGACTATTTTCTGTTTCCAAACCTGAAGAAATGGTTCGGAGGAAAGAAATTCACCACCAGAGAGCAGCTCATCGCCGAAACAGAGGCTTATTTTGAAGGGTTGGACAAATCATATTATTCGGACGGCTTGAAAAAGTTGGAGAATCGTTGGATCAAGTATCGAGCTGAAAGGAGATTATGTTGAGAAATAAAAATGAATCGATCAAAAAAAATGTGTTTTACTATGTTTTTCTAAAAACTTATTGACTTGCCCTCGTAAATTTTATAAAAGTATTTTACTTTTTAGTTTGAAATCCATTTTCAACGGAATTCGAACTGATTATAATATTATAAATAAAGTATTTCTGACGGGAATATTTTAAATTTTTTAATATTATGATTTGGAAATGGGACCGTTTATTTGAATAAATCAAATTAATATGAAAAGCGCTGGTTACGGTCAAAATTAGATGTTAAGAGTAATATACATTTTTAGAAATGTATATAGTATTTTACATAATGAAGGAACATTCATTTTTTATTAAGAGTCAATATTTATGGACTATTTGGAATTAATTTTTTCTTTACAGTTTAATTTGCAATTTATTTGAATATTCATAAAAATCTTCGGCTAATTATGGGACTTAATTCTTTTTATACGTCAATGATTCTAAAGAAAATTTGTGAAAACATAGAAAAACCATTTACGTATTTTATGAATGGTTAAATAATAGACAATATTTCATTTCAAATGTAAAATGAAAATGGTTTTCCAAAAATCATTTAAAATGGAATTATTTTAAATATTACCTAGCCCTGATTATTCCTATATCGTTTTGGCTGCAAATTACTCGACCCGAACGGTCCACGCGTTCCCCATCTTTTCGAGCGTAAATGTGACATCAATAAAAATTCTGACTATACATATAATCGTCGCGGCCATATTAAATGGCATCGTAACGTCATAAGCGAGAAATGACATATTGAAGTTTCTTGCATGCCATTTATAAATAATAAAATAAAGAAAAAAATGTGGATAAAATAAAATAATGAAATTACTTTAAAACATCTGTAAAATGAGCCGTCAATTAGTAAATGATTGTAAAAAGTACGTGAAATGGAAAATACGCATAATGGCTTTTAATCCTCAAATACCATTTCCAGTGGCATTTAAAGGTGTGGCATTTGAATGTAAGCATACATGAACATGTAAATTACGTTAAAGCTAATAAATTTTTATGTAGGCTTTCAATGTCAATTCTACAAAGTATTGTTCGTTCAAGTAATCCGAGGTCCGCTAGAAATTTATGCTACTCATAAGAACTATAAAACTAATATGAAGCAAGGTGTAACTTTTACGAAATGGCCACAACTGGACTTTTTATTTGTGCGTATTTTAATTTTGTTACAATGGATTTTAAAAAATTTTGCTATTTGTAGAACAAGTTTAAAAATTTTGATTATACCGAATTTATGATAATTGCCGAGAGAGAGAGAGAGAGAGAGAGAGAGAGAGATTTCAGCTTCGCCTAAAGTAACGTTGGTTCGAATGGGCCTAATACGAAGAATGACACGTAAATCGAGCTCTCGAGTAGTCGCTACGGCCATATTGAATCATGATGTCATAAATAGAAACGACGTTCTTTTTTATTACATATCTTTATAAATAACAATTTCGATATAACGACATGATGAGATCGCTTTAAAATACTTGAAAAATGGGACAAAACGATCCTTTTCCTCCTTGACATTCAGTAAATAGTCATAAAAGGCACGCGAAAGTGAAAATAGGCTACGCATGCGCATTGAGTAAACGCACTTCACGTGCCTTTTACAATTTTTCACGATTATTTACTAATTGTTAAGAGGGATAAGGATAGCTTCGACCTACTTTTACAAGTGTTTTAAAATTTAAAGCGATTTCATCATCACGCTATATCTAAATTGTCTTTACTTACAAATGGCATGTAATAAAAATTCAAGTATCTTTTCTCGTTTATGACGTCACGATTCAGTATGGCCGCAGCGAATACTCAGGAGCCTTATGTCCTATTGAGAGTCTTTAAACTATACAGATTACCTCATTCTCATTCTTTCGTGACATGTCCTATGCAAGGAGAGAAACCGATAAAAAAGCTACAGCTCAGCTAACGTTTAATATTCCTCAAATATACATACGAAGGGCACTATTTATATTTTGAGCCTAATAATAAAAAAACAGTAATTTGTCATTGAAAATGACTTTGTTTTTCAAAATATTCTCCTTTATGATTTATACACTTTTGCATGCGTTCGAACCACTTGTTTGCACCAATCGACACGAGCATCTTTTTGAGATTTTGTCAGATTATGTGGGATCCAATGAGAACAAACCTTTTTCACGGCTAAATGATCATGCAATATTTTATATATGCTGGTGGAACTAATGCCTAAGGTTGTCTCAATCTCACAGTATGTCACATGACAATCTTGCATTATTAGTTTTTGCACAGCATCAATGTTTTCTGACACAACAACTGTTTTTGGACGACCTTCACGACTTTCGTCGGTGAGCGAACGGCGACCACGATTAAATTCGTTATACCAGCGTTTCACAGTGGCAAAGGATGGGGCTTTATCGCCAAAAGTGGAAGTAAGTTGATCGATGCACTCCTGTCTTGATAATCCACGTCGAAAGTCGTAATAAATCATTGCACGAAAATTTTCACGAGTAATTCCATTTTTTCGCTGAGACACAATTTTCAAGTGACTGTAAACAATACAAATCGCGCTCAAATAACAAAACGTTCTGAAGAAGGTTATGGTAAAAAATGTCAAACTTTCTAGTGGAAACGTCAGATGGCACCTGACAACACTCAGTGTTGCCAAGGCTCAAAATATAAGTAGTGCCCCTGTAAAAGGTCCTAAAATCTCAAAAGTACATTCTAATAGTATTTCGGAATATCTCGAAACATTTATGGAATGTAAAGGCAACATTCAAATATGAGTTAAAAATTCCATTTATATTATACATCGTTACATATTTCGTAGAATATACGTATACGTATATTCTACGAAATATGTAACGATGTATAATATAAATGGAATTTTTAATTTGTCATTCAGTTGACAAACTAGGATTCATGGTGACATCCCGTTTTACCGATACATCCCCTGTTCACAAACTCGCCGATGAGGCAACATGTATAGTTTAGTAAAACCTTGTGTATAAGTCCTATTGAATCGATAAAACAACGATTCCGTCGAAGTTTGGTCTTCCCTTCAGGAAGATCCCCTTGAGTGATCCCCTTCGAAGATTAACTATATAGAATAATAATGAGCGACGCATGAGCTTTCCGCCAGGACAAAGCGATTGTTTTCCTCTCTCTTGAAACAAGTTCGCTTGGGATCAACATTCGTAAAAGAACATTACACCACCTTGATCAAAAAGTTCCCGGAATTCATTCAGAAAATTCAAAATACAAGTTTATTCATCAAAAGTGATATTGTCCCCTTCAAAGTACTTCCCATCGATTGCAACGCACTTATACCAGCGCTTGATCCAGCTCTCGAAACATTTCTGTAACTCTATTGTCGGTATAGCCATCAGGCCGTCTTCGACTTTTCCATTACCTCCTTTCGGTTGTTAAAACGCGTTCCCCGTAATGGTTTTTTGATTCGATCGAACAGAAAAAAATCGCAGAGAGCCATATCGGGTGAATTCGATGACTGTTGGATGGTATTCGTTTCGTTCTTGGTCAAAAATTCACGGATAATGATAGCACTGTGCGACGGTGCGTTATCATGGTGCAAAATCCACGAGTTGTTTGCCCATAAATCCTTTCTTTTTTGGCGAATTGCTTCACGCAAACGTCTCATAACGCCTAATTAATACTCCTTATTAACTGTCTGACCTTCTGGCAAAAATTCGTGAAGTACAATACCGTTGTAATCCATGAAAACCGTGAGCATCATTTTCTTTCGACTGAAAACGACGTGATTTTTTTGGTTTTCACGACCACTTCTGAAGCGTTCATGCCACTCGTAAACGGTTGTTTTCTTTAGAGCATCACTGCCGAAATAGTTTCCCAACATTTCCAAGGTTTTCGCACCATTGAATCCATTTTTAACGCAAAATTTAATACAAACTCGTTGTTGCAAATTCAACTCCATTTTTAAAACTGTAAAAAATCGAAAACACGTGCAGAGGTAGATGTACTCAAGACAGCGTAACTTTTACAAATGTCAAGCTATGGCGATAAAATTTGGTGGAAATGTCAATG